CGCGATGCCTGTCTTTTGAGCTTCACGGACAATCGATGCTGTATCGTCAATAAGGGCGTGAACGCCCAGCCCTTGAAGGGCGTCTGCTTTGCCTCCCCTACCCAACCGTTCGTGTACGATTTTTATCGCAGAAAAAGTGAGTCCAGATGTCGCCCGCGCGTGCTCCAGGGCGACCTGGAACTCGCGGCGGCGATACTCGCTTGCAGCCCTGCCCACGAAGGATAGCACTATAAAATTTATAGGTGCGTAGTCCGCTGCAAACTGAACGAGATGTCGGATCACTTCCGGGTTGAGGTGGGGTCCCTGCTGCCCAACGTCAAGAACTCCGTGCCAGTCAAGAGCAACAACAAGCTCCTTGGGCGGCACAGGCCTTCCAGGCGGAGGTGGTGGCGGCGGTGGCGCAGGCGGTGCCCTTCTTGGTGGCGATCGAAAGCGTGAGCCAGCCTCGGAAGTTGCAGCGCTAGCAGCAGCTGCTTGAACGACCTGCGGAGGTGGCGGCTTGACGATGTACCCGAATTGTGGCGGGTTTGAGCTCGATTTGCTTCTGGGTTCGGCCTTGTTCAAACCTCGCGGAGGCGCCTTGTACCCGAATGCACTCTGAGTCCGAATAGGAGATCTTGCTCGTGGCGGTGATTTCCTCGGAATATCTGCTTTTGCCGGTACCGAAGAAGCTGCCCTGGGGATTTCCTTGGGCAATGGAGGCTTGCTGCCAAAAATGACCTTTGGTGCGGCCTTTGGTGGCGGCGGTTGAACTGCTCCAATTCTCCGGCTGTGCAACGCGATGGGCTCAGTGTGAGTCGGCGCCTCGTACACGCGCCGAGGCACGTAGGCTGCCCTGCCCGTTCTGATGGATTCCGCGTCTTGCGGAGGTTCCTCTTCCGAGCTGTAGGCGTCGAGGCGGAAGTGCTCCGCTGGCGCCGGGCGTCGATCAGGAGATCGTGAACGCGAGCTCGTGGATGATCTTCTTGGGGGATCTCTCCACGTCTCGTCCGCGAGCAAATACGGGTCAGCCTGACGGAGTTGTCCAGACGTCCGTTGTGCTCGCCGATGAGATGCCGCCTCACGTGGCTGTGAAGCCTCCCGAACAAGTACCCAGGTGCCGTGCTCGTCAAATCGAGTCACAGGGTATATGCTATTCTGTGGAGCCAAAACGATGGGCCGTGTGGCAAGGGAAGTCCTGGATGGCCTGCCCTCCCGCGCAAGCGCGGGTTCAACACTGTGAGCCCGTTGTTCCACAGGGGTAGCAGCAGTTGGTCCTCGTCTCGGAGTTGATGATGGAGACCTCGACCTTCTGGGCGATGGGGACCTCGATCTTTGTGTTGACCGTTCCCTGCTGCTCTCCCGCCGCGTTTCCGCAGCTTTAGCGTACACCCCGCGAAGTGTTGACTTGGCGGCTTGTCTTTCCTCTGCAGATGGCCGGATGCGAGGCAAAGGAGTGCGTGAATCTTGCAGCCAGGAGGAAGCTGAAGGAGGCGTCGGAGGGCGTAGCCAGTCCGCTGCACTGCTCGCTGCTTCCGCCGCGCCCGAGGCTGCGGCTTGATCCTGAGATGGCACACCTTGCGGCAAGACCACACCTGTGGTTTCAACCGATGCGAGACGCTGCTGATAAGCGTTGTCCGCGGCCTGGATCACGTCGAAGGCCTCTTGGTCAAAATTCCACAGGTGCCAACTATCCAATGACTCACGCCAGGAAAAGAGCGCCTCGACCTGTTGCTTCGAGGCGTCCGCAAACCTGATCCACCGGAATCGTCTGTTCTGCCGCTTGTACTCGTCGACGACGATCTGTTGCAGAGTATTGAATAAGCGGGCACGCGGCCCTTTCCCACCGCGAGTGCCGCGGTGAGGGCCGGCTTCCATGTGCGACCAACAGGTCGCAGTCACGGAAGGGTTTGTTTACCCGAAAAGCGTTACGGCTGATAACCACTCAAAGGAGAGGGAAACACAGTTTTGTCAACAACGGGGGAACCCGGGACCTTAAAAGGAACGAACCCCTCCGTGACTGCGACCTCTCCCTTAACCTTGGGGTTAGCGCGTGCAACGCGCTGTTTTCAGCACTTGAGCCAAAGCAGTGATTGGATCATGCTCTGGCATTGACTTGAATGTACAACATGCAACTGACTACATGAGAACCTACCTCATGTACCTCTGGGCCATAAATGTCATCGTGATGATTGACTATTTTATTTTAGAATTAACTATTTTTTTGATACAATATATTAAAAATATAAATATTAATATATAAATGCCAAAAAAGAAAACCAAAAAGAATAAGATAGGTTTAAGTGTTTCTTCAACAGAAGATAGCGGAGAAATTGTTAAAGAAACATCAGTATTTGAGATTGCTTGTCCTATGTGCAAAAAGATGTTAGAACTTAAAAATGAATTAGAAATAAAAAAAATAATAAAACATGTAAATGTTCATGTATTCCAACAAGTTTCAAAATAAGTAAAAATGATAAGAAAATGAATATTGATAAAACTAAAGACAGTATCAACTTAGAAACTGATGTCCATAGTATAACTTTTAAATTTGGTAGGCAAGCAACACCAACCGATAATAATGAAAACGAAACACAGGAAACTGTTAAACAAATGATGAAAAATTAGTATTTAAAGAGTAGATTTAACATAATTGCACTTTATAAATATATAATTAAATAAATAATTATCTAAATAAATATATAGTAATGTCTGAAAATGAGAATTATACTATTAATGATTTAATGAAGAAGATAACATTAATTGGTAAAAATATTAAAACCTTAAATGATATGATTAAATCCATTGATGACAAAATGAAACCAGTTGAAAGCGAACAGCAGGAGAAGGAAAAAATCGAAAAGATATTTCAAGCAAAATCTATAGGAAGACCAACGGGTGATTATCCTACAAAGCAAAAGAAATACTGTGATATGTTGAATACAGGAAAAATCAAACAACCAAAGCAACAAACATTAGAATTTTATAAAAGTTCAAAAAATGATGATGGAGTATATGTATTATTTGAATAATTAATATCTAAATAATTCTAATAAATGAATTTATTAGAATTATTTAGCGGAACAAAAAGCGTCGGAACCATAGCAAAGTCGCTTGGATTTAATGTGATATCATTAGACTTGAAAAATGCTGATATCAACACTGATATTTTTGGAGTGGGATTACAAACAGTTTGACAGAAACCATTTTGATTTTATTTGGAGTAGTCCCCCATGCACTGAATACAGCGTAGCAAAAACTAGGGGAATTAGGAATATCGAATATGCAAATAGTATTGTCTTAAAAACTATCGAGATTATCAAATATTTTAATCCTAAATATTTTGTAATCGAAAATCCACAAACTGGATTATTAAAAACTCAGGAGTTTATGGATGAGTTTGAATTTAAAGATGTTGATTACTGTAAATATGGATTTAATTATAGAAAGAGGACTAGGCTATGGAATAACATTACAACTTGGAAACCTAGAGAATTATGTAAAAAGGATTGTGGCAACATCAGGAATAATAAACATATTGAAACAGCACAACGGCTACCATCGGGCACCAAGGAAAAATGGGGAGACAACCCAACAATACATAAGCAAGAAGACCTATATAAAATACCTAGCGAATTAATTTGTGAAATCTTGGTGAGTTTGAATTAGGGGGGTTCATCACAACATCCACCAACATACATCCATCGTGGGAAAGGCGAAGCCTTGAAAGGGGAGAAGCACGCCATCAAAAGAACCAACTCCCTACACACGCACAAATCCGCCAAGAGGGAAACCAAAAGGGAAATGTCACTGTCACGACACAGGCTTGTCACTGTCACGCTTGTCACTGTCACGACGGGGGCTTGTCACTGTCACGACGGGGGCTTGTCACTGTCACGACGGGGGCTTGTCACTGTCACGACGGGGGCTTGTCACTGTCACGACGGGGGCTTGTCACTGTCATGACGGATTTAAGTATAGCGTTTTATATATTGAATTATTATATTTTCCTAATTTGCTTATCTCTTTCAAAGTGCGTTGTTTAGACTTGGTATGCTTCTTCAATTTTTTCGTGCTTTGGCTGTTTGTTTTTGTTTTGTTTGATACTCTTGTGATATTTTTTGTTGGTATGTTGCTTTGATTTTTGTTGATGTGTGTTTTTGAGTTTGGGTTCTTTGATGATTTAGAGTGTTGCTGTTTTGTTGGCATGCTTGTTTGAATTATTTAATGTTGCATGCTGTGATTAAATATTTGTGTTGCTGGTTGTGATTATTTATTTTGTTTGCTTGTTGTTCTGGATTTTGTTTTCTGTTTGTTGTGTTGCTGTTGGAAAAAATAGTAGAAAGAATAATTCTTTGAATTTTCCTTTTACTATTTTTGGGGTGCGGTCGGATGTGGGGTGGGATGTGTGGGGTGGGGTTGGGTGGGGTGGGATGGGGTGGGGTGGGGTGCCAGAGTTCCCCTTCAAACATTTTCCATTTTTCCAGTGGTCTTTACTGTGAAACTGCCATGTTTGGAGGTTCCAGGCAAAGAAAAGGTGGAAACCCTGTCGAACCGCAAAACCGAAGCCTCCCTCTCCCCCCACACTTGGGGCTTGTCTTGCAGGCCAAGCTCCCAAAAACAAACACCCGACACAAAAGGGTAGCAAAATAGAACCCAAGTGTCCACCATACATCCTCCCACCAATCGGGAGAAGGCATGAACTCGCAAGAAAAGGTGTCAAAACCGGGCAACACCGAAAAGTGATAACAAGTGATCGATGCCCTTGCGGTTGGGCAGAAGGCAACATGTTTGGCAGGCTTTGCACAAAGGTAGCCGCGAATGGCGGCTGCCGGAACAAAAACAGATCTTCACCCGTCATGGCAGCGTCCATATAGAAGCCGCTTTGAAAAAGGCAGTCACCTTACATCCGTCCAAAAGGAAAGTTGTGTTTCGCAAGGCGCCAAGATGTCACAAAAGAGAGAAAACCGCCACACAATGTTCAGCCCGGGAAATCCCGCGCTAACCGGCTGGCGAGTGGCTGGTACCCTCGGCCATCTGGACGAACAAGGAGAAGAGAATCCTCAGATGGCGCCCGGTGAAAACAGAGGACATCCCTTCAGTCTGAAGTCTCGGCTCATTTGCCACCTGAAAAACACATGCGTAGCTCAGATCAGTCCCCTAAGTACTAGGAAAGCAGTGAGGGTTAGAGCCCAACTGGCAGCTGAAAGTCTGCACCACCAGAGCCACATACCAGGGCTGAGTGTTATCCACCAGCCCGAAGATGAAGAGGAAAACGGCCTTGCAAGGGCAGCTGGAACTAGAAACGGTTGACCACCGTGTTTATCCGATACAGTGCTCAAAGAGGCACAACCCAGAAAGCGGGCGTAAACAACATGTGCAGGATGCTAAGCAAATCAAAAAGCAAAACAACAACGACGCCAGAACAGTGCTTTAGAAGGGTAGCGCGCGCCAAAACGCAAACCTCCACATATGTTGACCTTAACTATGCTTTGAGTTTTGAGTTATCCGTCCAACCAAAAGGCCACCGCTCGCAAACCCCGAAAACTGCCACACCGCCGGCCTCTAGGAAAAGGCACAGGAACTGTGCCCAAAGCCGGGCCCGAAAGCCCGCGAGCTTGAAGAGCTGGTCGCTGCAAATGCCTCGCAACCGAATGCGAGGCGCCAGTTCTAATCTCCACCCAAACCCTTGGTTTTTGTGGGTTTTTGGCGGATTTCCTGGAGAACTTCCTGGAGATGGTGTCTCAGATTCTCTTCACCCATGGTGAAACTTGTTACTTTTGGAAACCACCCATGTTCGCAGGTTTGGCCAGTTGCTGGAGAAGCATCGCAGAAGAGCATTGGGAAGGTAAGGCTGGACCCGTGTGTGTGTGTGTGTTGGTGGTGGGTGGTGGGCGGTGGGTGATGGGTGTTGGGTGGTGGGCGGTGGGTGGTAGGTGGTGGATGGGGGGTGTGGTGCGGGGTGCGGGGTGTGTGTTTGTGGGTGCTTGCTTGCTTTTGTTGTGTTTGTTTGTGTCTGTTGGTGTTTGTTGGTGTTGTTTGGTGCCTGTTGGTGCTTGTTGGTGCTTGTTGGTGATTGTTGGTGCTTGTTGGTGTTAGTGTGTTTGTGTGTGTTTGTGTGTTTGTGTGTTTATCTGTTTGAGTTTGTGTGTTGTCTGTGTGTGTGTTTGTCTGTGTGTGTGTGTGTTTGTGTGTTTGTGTGTGCTTGTGTGTTGTGTGTTTGTGTTGTTTGCGCGTGTGTGCGTGTGTGCCTGTGTGCCAGTGTTTGTGTGTTTGTGTGTCTTGGTAACTTTCTAACTTTGTAACTTTGTGTGTTTGTGTTTGTGTTTGTGTTTGTGTTTGTGTGTTTGTGGGTGTTGGGTGCTTGTGCGCTTGTGCGCTTGTCTGTTTGTGTGTTGTGCGTGTGTGTGTGCGTGTGTGTGCCTGTGTGCCTGTGTGCCTGTGTGCCTGTGTTTGTGTGTTTGTGTGTTTGTGTGTTTGTGTGTTTGTGTGTTTGTGTGTTTGTGTGTTTGTGTGTTTGTGTGTTTGTGTGTTTGTGTGTTTGTGTGTTTGTGTGTCTTTGTAACTTTGTGTGTTTGTGTTTGTGTTTGTGTTTGTGTTTGTGTGTTTGTGTTTGTCTTTGTGTTTGTGTTTGTGTGTGCGTGTTTGTGTGCTTGTGCGCTTGTGCGATTGTGCGCTTGTCTGTTTGTGTGTTTGTGTGTTTGTGTGAATGTGTGGTTGTGTGTTTGTGTTTGTGTTTTTGTGCGTGTGTGCGCGTGTTTCTGTGTTTGTGTGCCTGTAGGTGCCTGTGTTTGTTTGTGTTTGTGTGTTTGTGTGTTTGTGTGTTTGTGTATTTGTGTCTGTGTATTTGTGTCTTTGTGTGTTTGTGTGTTTGTGTGTTTGTGTGTTTGTGTGGTTGCGTGCTTGCGCGTTTGCGTGCTTGCATGTCGGGATGTTTGTGTTTGTGTGTTTGTGCGCTGAGTGTTTACCCGTTACGAGTTTGTGTGTGTGGTTGTGTGGTTGTGGTTGTGTGTGTTGTGTGGTCGTGTGATGGTGTGATTGTGTGTTTGTGTGTTTACGCGTTTGTGTGCTCGTGAGTCGGTGTGCGGTTGTGTTTGTGACGTTTGTGTGCTTGTGTGTTTGCGTGTTTGTGTTGTTGTGTTTCCATGTTTGTGTGGGTGGGTGTGGGTGTGGGCGTGGGTGTGGGTGTGGGTGTTGGTTGTGGGTGTGTGTGTGTGTGTGTTTGTGAATGTTTGTGTGTGTGTGTGTGTTGGTGTGTGTGTGTGTGTGGTGTGGGGTTGTTTGCGTGTTTGGGTGTCTTTGCGTGCCTCTGCGTGTCGCTGCAAGTTTCTGCGAGTCTCCGCGTGTCGCGTGGCTGCGTGTGTCTACGTGTGTCTGCGTGTGTCTGCGTGTGTCTGCGTGTCTCTGCGTGTCTATGCATGTCCGTGCGTGTCTCTGCGTGTCTCTGCGTCTCGCTGTCTCTCTCTGTGCCTCTGTGTGTGTGTATGTATGTGTGCGTGTGGTTGCCTGAGTGTTGGTTTGTGCTGGCATGCGTGCTGAAGACAAATAAGAAACACCGCAAAAAAATGTACTACCACAGTGCCCCGCCCGCCACGAAAAAGGGACCCCCTTAATTATAAGTGGTGGGAAAAAGCAGGGGTCCAACGAATTTCATGCGCCAGGAGTTCAGGCACAACTCGCAAAACGGGGCGGCCGGCATCGCCCGGCTGCCGCTTTGGTCCGAGCTGCCACCCAGAGAACGGGCAAAGAGGTTCATGAGACCAAAGCAGCCAGCCAACGTCGCGGCATCTTGCGCCGGCATCTGAAAGTAGGTCCTGGCTTCATGGAAAGGAAAGCAGGTCACCTGTTGGATTGCCATGGCTGAAGGCACCTTTTGGATTGCCATGGCTGGAAAAACAAACAAACGAGAAGCGCTTTTTGGATGGCTGTGGCGCCAAAAATGCTGAAGCCAAGGCCGGGTGAAAGAAAGCGGAGATCCAAAGGCTTGGATTCCGGGTCCTGAAGTGCGTCGCAAGCTGGTTGTTCATCGCCAGTTCCGTGCCAAAGCAGGCCGAATACTGGAAGATCATCACCACCACCCGAACGTCTTTCAGCACCTAACCCCCAGCTCACTCCGAGGAGTCAAGGGGAACAAGGTGTCCGAGGGTTTAGCGCAGCTCAAACACACCCTCAGGGAGGTCTTGCCCTGACCCAAAGTAAGCCCTGATTTATCAAGCTCTTAAGAGTTCAGCAAGAGCGAACCTAGCTGGAAGCGCGGCCGTTGTTTGTCCGTGATATGTTTCGATGTTAGTCAGTCATCCTGCTGCGCTAGGTGAAGTGAGAGGGGGTGAGCCTGAAAGGACCCCACTCGAAACTTCTGCGTTTCTTTCGTCTTCATCTTCCTCCTCCGGTTTTTTTCGCACTTCTTCTCGCTGTTTGTCTGCCTCTTCAAAGCTTGCGCACTCGGACCGAGTCCCACCCCAAAAACCCGTCCTGGAGGTAGTCGCGCACCGAGGCCTTCCGCGTCTTCCCGGCCGCCTTGAGGTCCAAGCGCCTGCCTCGGGGCGTGTCCCAGCACAGCAGCTGCAGCGCCGCCGCGCAGAGCACCAGCAGTACCGCCGGGATGATCCTGCCGTTTTGTTGGTTTTGACAGACACCAGAGAACCTCCGATTTTCCAGCGAACCCGTCAGCATAATATCATAAATCCCCATGGGTCGCAAAGATCCAAAATGAGTCAGAGCGAAACGGTTGATGGCTGGTGTCAAGGGGAACATGGGGTCTATTCAACTCAAATCAACATTACCCGAGCGAAGTGGTGGTCTAAAGGAAAACCACCTCCCAAAAGTTCAAATGAGACCGCCCCAATTAAATAGCATGCAACCGCCCTTGGAGGAAAGGGTTTTCTTCACGCTTAGCGCCTCTCGCAATTACCGGCCAAAAGGGGCCAACGCTCTGCAACCCCTGGAAAACCCGCTGAAACCAAAAGCCCGGGCCAAATCACGGAAAAACTCGGACAAAGGGAAAACCACGAGAGGCAAAGGCTTTGCAACCTGCTGCAATACGCCTGGCGAGGCGCAAACAACTGGCCAAAGCTGAGCCAAGGAGCATGGACACACGCCAGGCGGTGTCAGGATCGAGCCCCGCGCTCACCATAGGGGCGAACAGCGCAGAGGTCCTCTGGGGCAAAATTGGATTCGGTCTCACCCAAACCACCCGCCCCGTTGCTCCAATTCGATACTTAATTACACTTTCATAAACACTACAAAGAAGAATTCCCCCTCCCCCCCCCCCCCCGGTTTTCCCTGGTGGTTGACTGTGTCCTTCATGACCCACGGGAATGGTTTGCTTGCCTTCGGTGAACCAAAGGACGAAATAAAAACATATCCATGGGGCTCATCTATACTACAGCCACAAAGGCATGTTGGTTCAGGGCATTGCCTGCCAAACACTCCTCCAATTGACCATCGACAAGTCTGTACTCCCCCGAGCACATGTGAGAGCTTCGGAACATACCAACTTGAGACCGTTGCCATGCTCATACCGCATCCAATCCCTGCATGCGGTTGCCTGGTGGTCTGTAAAGAATCCAGGGGTTTCTTTTTGAGAGACACATCCACTTCCCTTTTTTGGCGGAACATCCGACTGGCCCCCGAACGCCCCGGTGAGCACTGGAAACAGTGGCATGCGCCAGGCACAGAAGGCACGTGGCCGTGCACAGGCCTCGTCCCCGTGTCAAACTCCTTTGGGTTGGGCACGGAAACGAGGTGCCAGAGAAGACTTCCGAATCCGAGCTGCTTGAGTTCGGCTTGTTTGGACATCATTCCGGCTCTCTTAAAGGGAGGCCGCATCTTGAGGGGCCATTCTGACTTTTGTGTACCCTTGGGGGTGGTTTGCAGTTGAAACACTGATGTCGCTTTAATGGACCCAAGGTCATTTGGCATTTCAGGTTCAGTAAATCTGGGCAGGATATATAAAAAGAAGCACATTAGTAGGATTTGCCGATTTGCCGATTGAACTATGCAGCGCCGCTTCCTTTGAAGGGGGTTTGTCAGCTTGCCCCGTGTGCTTTACATTTTCAACCTATAAGCTGCTTCTCTTTTTTGTCTTGGGGGGCAGGGGGGAGACAACATTTGACGAGACCGATCGCCGGGTTCGTTCGCCGGTCATGAAGATCTGGGTGACGCCGCCCCCCAGGTTGCCCCAGCCCGCGGCGGTGGCGTTGGCGGTGCCCACCACGTTTGGGGCGAACATCAAAGAGCACCAAAACCTGGACATGTCACGTGCCACACTGAGGCCATTTGACCGGAAACTGAGGATACCGCCAATGGATACGTGTTCTGAGGGTAGAGGAGCCAATACCCAAGAAGACACCCGTATGGCTTTGGGATTTGGGGTACCTACCAATGGGGACAAACTGCAGCGCCACGGACCCGGTATAAACAAAAGGTTCTGGTAAGAGAGAAAAGGACGCCAGCACAATTTGCGTAGCTCGGAACCTGGAGAAACTGTTCCCCGGTCTTCAGAACTTCTACCAGTGCCTTCTTGGGGCGGTCACTGAAAGGGGTTCAACATGTCATCGGATGAAAGCAGAACGGGGCGAAACGTAGAGTCTAAGGAGCTGGTTCGTCACGAACGTGGCCCCAACGCAGCCAATGAAGAACCGGATCAGCATGTACCTCGGGTTAAAACGTGGCCTAAAACGAGTTGGGCTGACCTGCGCAATGAGTCCAAAACTTCCAGCAAGACATGCCCAAGCGAAGGACCTACGTCACGGTGAAGCTCGTTTTGCCCCCCCGGTGAACTTGCCTTGCCAGAAAATAGGAACAATCCAAAACCCGTTCCTTTTCAGTCGCGAATCCGGTGGAAAAAGCTGGCATCCAAGAAGCAAAAACAAAAGCTGACATGCCGAGGAACTGCCACGTCTGCTGGATGGTTGCTGCCAGAGCCACCCAAACCGCGCCGAAGGTCAGAAGACCGGCCTGTACCTGGGCAAAAAGGAGCCTGACACTGAAACGTGAATCACCTGGCCCAATCACAACCGAGGTTGGCGTTTGCTCCGCACTGTGGTGTCCGGAGGCTGAAGCTTGAGGTTGATTGCTTTGCAAAGTCAGGAGCAAAGAATGCACAGACCGTCCTCTGCCAACCACCCCACAACAGATTTCAGGGGAGTGACATGAAACCAAAAGAATTCCGCCGCTTGGAAAGCGCCACCCTGTACCACACAGAATTGAATTCCCCAAAATCGCATCTCTCGGGGAATTGCCCTCCCGAAATCTGAAATGGACTCGCTCCCTGCAAGACAATCTTCCCCAAAGCTGCTCGGTTGCCACTAAGTCTTCCCTAACAGCATCAAGCCCAACTCAGAGAGTGACCGAGTGACCGAGTGCGGCTGAGAGGCATTCACAGGCCCAAACCTCTCCAGGAGCGTGCCCAGCGCCACGCGCACGAAGATGGTCGACGCCACCGAGGCCACCCCCGCGTTGGCGATGACGCTGCTGCACTCCGTGCCGGCGCTGCAGACGCACCCGGCCAGCACCTCAAGCCGCAAGAAAACGCCGCGCTTGGGCGCAAGCGGCTAAGGCCAAGACATGAAAGGAGGCCCAAATTGGGTTGATCGCTGGGGGTGCCGGGGGAGAAATGTCAGAAATGTGCCATGTTGCCCTCCAAGAAAACAAACGCAGCTTCGTATGGAGGAGCATCTTTCCTGAAAGATGCTCGAAACCCGCCAGCTGAAACCACATCTTTCAAGGATGGCTTCATGCTGGTGACCCTCTGAAAAGCCTGGAAAGGCCCTAGCTTTGTCACGCCAGGTGAGGCCGCTCGAAGGGCCCGATCAACCATCCCCACATATCCCTGCGCCCAACTGGGAAAAATGTGCCACCCCCCCCCCAATACAGCTCATCATGGGATCTGTCCTTTGCAAGCACGGCCCTTCCATACATTGCGTAGACAGATGCGCCTCGGGTCGGTACTTCTGCATGTCTTCCGGGGAGGCTGCGCTGTTTGGCACTTCTGCGCAGTCGGTGGGCGTCACCCCGTCCTCTCCAAACACCATGCCGTGCTGGCAATACGCGTCGCCGGTGGCGAGGTCCTTGTACCTGACCAGGGCACTGGCTCCCTGGCCCTGAAACTGAACAGGACCCGAACAACAAAAACTCAAAGCCCCAGCCAGTAAAAACCAATGCCAAAAGCCAGCGAAACTTGGAATCAAACGCGGCTCAGAGTTGAGTTGACTCCGCGAGGTCGAACACGGCCCCAGTTTTTTTTGTCAGCTTAAGATTGGTCACGCTTGGCGTTTCTTTTCACTCGACTTTGATCAGACCGATTCTCCGAGATTTTCGGCTTCCCTCACCTGAGGAAGGCGATCCGCTTCGGATGGCTCTCAGGCGGGTAGAGCTGGTTCTCGCAGATGTGCATGCTGGTTGCCACCTCCACGCCAAACGGAGCCAAGGCAAACCAACCTCAGGTCCCAACAGAAAAGGTTTGCTTCAAGAGAGGCCTTTTTTGGCCTGGTTCTAAGGGAAAGCGTAAAGGGATGCCAGCCATTTTGCTGGCTCCGAATTTTGAGACAAACCAACATTTGCATTTTGCGGAGAGTGTTAGGCTCAAAACTGCTGGCTTCCTTCTTGCCCTGTCGCCATCCCCAATCTGAAATCGGATGCCGCCTGTCCAAGCTCCAAAGGTGGGTGGTCAGGGCATCTGAGAAGCCTGCAGTACATTTCCTTCCGAAAGGTAATCACCCCCCGCCCCCTGCTTCCTGCGGAACATTCTTGCCTGCGAGAAGGAGGGATCCCAACTGATCCGACCTACGGCTTCAGGGAACCGGTGCCTGTGTGAGGGATCGGCTGGGCCGCCATCGATCCAACCCCAAGCTGATTCACTCTTTGGGCGCTTGGACTTCTTAGGCCAGCTGCCGAGGAAGGCGAGGAAGAAGGACAAGGTGGCGCCCCAGAAGGCTCGCATGTGAGGATTTTCCGCGGCAGTGCCGCAGACTCTGAGCAGAGGCAGCTCCCGGGCCTTCTGGTCCTGGTCCACTGCCAACTTGAAGTCCGACATTGCGGAACTGGAAGGGCGGAAAACCCGGCGAAACTCGGCTAAGGCTCGGGGTGCACCCGCTCAAAACGCCTTGCCTTCTTTTTCACGAAAGGGGGGTCAGGCCAAGAAGGGGGACCTTTTCGGGCACTGGGGAACATGCTCTCCCAAAAAATGGCACTAAAGGTAGTTGGGGGCGCAACCCAAGCCGAGTATGAGTTCAAAAAAGGAAAGACGCCAAATGGCAACGAGGCCAAAAGGCTTGAGCCTGCCGGCAATTTGCGAATCCCTGCGAGTGGACACCGTCAGGTGGAACCCCGAAGCACTGGGTGGTTTGGACTGGTCACGCCAATCCAGCAAGCACACGGGTTTGGGTCACATGTCCTTTTCCAGAGTACATGATCACGAAATATCGCAAACGCAGGCCCCTCACCCGATCTTGATGATCTGACACACTTTCCGAAGGGAAAACAGGCTCGCCCCCAAAACCCGTGTTTGGTAGCTTTTCAAGGGATACAAACCTCGGACACAAAAGACGAGAGCAACTGCTTAGCAAAGCAGCCAAACAAAGGGCCCCTTTGAGAAACATCCCTCGAAAGCTGGGTTTTAAAACAGGCAAGATGCACCTTCCTAAAGCCTAGGAACACTGAAAAACTAAGCTTATTGAACAGAACAAAAATTTAATTCAAGTTGGCTCATTTCAGAGAGATGTGTCCCTACCTTCAAGCCGGTTCATTTCAACCTTGCCTGGTTACCTTTGCCAACAGAGGGGCCCGACAAGACCTGGCAAGTCCTCCTGTTGCGCAAAAACCGGCACCACCACCTCGCACCCGCCGTGTGGCATTTCCCTTGTGGCCCCTTCATCCTTCATTGGTGCTGAGGAGGTCAGAACTGGCTTGCCACAGCCCAGCTTGCCTCCAAGCCATGCAACTCCCGGCGCCAGCGGCCTAAGGGAAGTACGTGGAATCAAGAAACCCCAAAAGGGTTCCGATCTTGTTTTCGTTCCTGTCTTTTTCTGGTGGGGAAACGGCCGGATCGGTCTTCTGGGCGGACCCGCATTGTTTGTCTTTTGGGATGCGAATTGTTGGGTTGTCTGTTCTTCCTCATTGACTCATGCGATGGCCCTGGACAACTTTTGACCACTAGCCACTCTTGACATTTTGTCATTGTTGCCAGCAATCGCATCAAAGGTGACCGTGACCTGCCCTAAAATCCTGCAAACACATTGGCCTCGGGCTTTAGCTTTCTGCACGAAATGCCAATCCCAAGGATGCGCTCGGATGCGCCCAGATTCGAAACACATCAGGTTGGAGGTGGGCAATCACACTTTCAAGCCGCAGGGTTGGGCCTGGGACGCCGGAAAGCAGTCAACTTGCGCTCTGGCTTGGCATGAGGTACAGAGGCCTTTCTACAGCCAGCATAAAGGCTGCCAACCCACCAGCCAAAGTGGGAAGGGGAGAAGCCCTGGAATCTCTCTGGAATCTCTGGGCAGCGCACCTGGGTCGGCCACGGGGCGCGCCATTCATGGCCACACCAAGGCCAGCTGACATTGGGTCCACCAAGCGCACCACCCTTGAAGATGCAAAAAGGAGGGGGTGTTGAGTGTGGCTTTCTTTTTGAACCGGGCCATTGGGGTGCAACCCTTACGTCTTTTTAAGTCCTTGGATTTGGCGGGTTCCTTTCTTCTAAGCCCCGTTGAAGCGGCTGAGACCGCAGGCACGAAGCAGTGGCTTGAAGCGGCGCGCAAAGCTATTAGGAGACGTCGCCCCAAATGGTGGAAGTTTAGAGGTGTTCCACCCGTTGGACCCTCAAAAGGTCTGTCTTCCATGTAACGACTTTGAGATTCATCTTGGCCATGGGCCGGGAGAAAACCTTCAGCCCCTGGGACCGCCACAAGTTTTGCAAGACAAAGCCAGAGGGTGTTGGAGCAGGAGGCAACCTGAGACAAGTGTTGGGGGATTGCACCTGCCCCCTGGGAAAACACGAGGGGCTCCATCTGCGGAGCCACAAGTCAGTCCTGATTGCCTTCCAAAGGGTCTTGCTTCGTGTCGAAGCATGCAAGCCCTCCGGTCGTCGGATCCCTTGTTGGAAACGCAAGAAACAGAATTGCGGGAACCAGGCAGCTAAGATGGGGCCTATGCTTGAGTGAATGTGCATGTGCCCTTGCCACTCAAGGCACGGTCCTAAAATGATGATGGGCTCCCTGTCAACAGCATCTTCAAGCGAAGCTGCAATGTCATAAGGTGTCAGGACCCCCTTCTGACGTTTCTGTGCCCCCTGAAACCCCACAAGCACTCGCGACATCCGCTCCCTTCTTCCCTTCGAGGGCAAGTGGGCCGAACGCCCAGGGGCCCTATCCGGGGGTCATGGCCAATGAGCAAAGCCCTGGCAATCTGCCCATCCCGCTCCAAAACTCCGTCGAAAAAGGGGCCAAAGCGTGTCCTCTTGAACCTCGAAAGGGCAAGTTGGCTATCCAGGCATTCTCAAACCTTTCCGACAAACATCAACAAAGCCAAAAGACACCTGACATCGTCTTTATGCTTGGAGTCCGGCCCTGTCATAAAGCATACTTCCGGTTTGCTTCATGTTTGGTCACCTTGCCATTCCCAACCCTAGGATCAAGTTGGACCCTCCGCTTCCGCCCACACCGGATCTTGCCGGCCTCGCCCGACTGTGGGGCTTCGAAAAATCAGCCAGCAAGCCAAGCGAACCCAGACGACGCTTGAACCCCCCTACAAACAAAGTTGCAGCAAACCTTGCTGCACAACTTACATCAATCTCGCCAGCTGAGGCAAAACAAGCTCGTGCATGAAGGTGAGCTTAGGGGTTCGTGTGTGTGAATTCTCCCAGGTTGTGTTGCAAAAACCCGTTCCTTTTCTGGCTTCTTGAAGGACGGTTTTCCGGAAACAACACCTCGCACAAGCTCAGGGCCGGCTTCGCTGCCGTCTCTGGCCGGCTCGGTTCACTTCTGCTTGGCCGCCGTCGGCACGGGGATCATGCCGCCCGCCACGATGGCCATGATGGCCGCGGGGGCCAGCGCCGCCTGGCGTGTGGCGAGGATTCTCTGGCACCCGCAATAGCAAAGAGATGAGACCAGGTTGCTGTGGGCCCCGGAGGGAAAAATGGAATTGGAAATGCGACCCCAGCTGGCAAATGCTTTTTTTTTTTTTCCGGGGGGGTGCTTTTTGTTGCACGGCGTAGCCGTAGCAATAGGGCAACTCAACGACTACAAGCACTGGAGGGGGCCAACGCAGCACTGGAGGGGGCCAACAACAGCTGTCACAATTTCAAGGCTAAACGGGCACGTTCCCAAAGATCTTTCCCGCCCGGTTTCTCAGTGGGCAAACAAACCCCTTGAGGGAACTTTCTACCTGCCGGTCCGTTGGGACCTTGACAAAAACAAGTATAGATCCCGTGAATGGCAGGAACGACCATGGGTTCTTTAGAAGGATTGCTGGCGCTAAACCACACACACAGCACACACAGCACACACACACACACACCCATGCACGCGCGCGCACGCACGCACCCACCCAGCCACGCACGATTCTCTTTGAAAAGAAAGCGAAGACAGGATTGCCGAAGACCCCACAAACGCTTTTGGAAACCAACGTTGGAAGTTTAAAAAAGCCAGCTCGGGAAATGGGAGGTGATTACTTGCCTGGGTTCCCGATATATTCCAGCGCAAAAAAGATCACCCCAAAGGAAACTCGATTCGATGGGTCTTGCCTGCATGCCGTAGGGCTCATAGGTCTCCTTGGCCGCCACACCCCCCAGGCCGAAGAAGAAGACCCCCGCGGCAAAGAGCAACACCTGCGGTTCGGCGGGTGGTTTGGCGCCCGGCGGTGTGGGACTTGGTGGTTTCCCACCCTCAAGAACCAGGGCTTCACGTCCAAATCGGGAGCAATCCAGACCACCAACTGGGAAGTTGGATTTTCCAGACGTAAAGAAGATCTGGACGTTGGACATGGGTCCAAGACGCCGTTGCGCTTTCTCTCTCAGAAACCCCTTGAATGAAAGCAAAAGCGCTCCAAAGTGTTTCTTTGGCAGCACCCAGCTGTTCAACACTGATACCCCAAAAGAGATGCGTGCAAGCCGTTTTGGACGGAAGCCAAATTGGAAACCACACAGGTTCCATGCTCTGAAGCCACGAATCCCGCGCAAATGCGCACATTGACCGTTTGTCATGGCCTAAGAATGGATGAAACATATCCCCCCACGCGGGGGTGAAGGGCATGACTTCTTTTTGTTGGCATCCGCACAAAAACCTTTGGAGGACACAAACTGCCGTGTTTCTGATTTGCGGCCCAACGGGTCCAAAACCAATGGCAATTCGCGGAAACAACCACCAGAAGGCCGAATTCCCCCAACGCGGGGAATATATCACTTGCCCGGCCTTCAGGAGCGTGGGCGGCGCTTCTCCGTTCACAATGGCCCGGGCCCACAGGCCCAGGCCGGTGCCCACGTCCGTCAAGTAGCCCGTGAAGTGCGTGGTGCAGATGGGGATCGACTGGCACCTCCGGGTTCCATTTCGGTTTCTCTGAAAAATCATCTGCTTGGCGAAATGAGGGCAAGGTGGCGAAAGGAACACTGGTCGAGGTGCCCGCACCCCACCCAGTATTGCCGGTCACGAACATCGAACTTGACAAGGACGACGCTTCGAAAGGAAAACTGGGGTCAGGCTGCGCGCTGGAAGGCGGGTATGGCTTTGCTGATTGAGTTCTGATATAACGCATCTGAGCCGCAAACAATCCTACATCCCAAACCCCTTAATAAACGAAACAGCCTTCAAACGCCTCAGCCCGAACAGTCTCGCCCTCAAGCCCGTATCCCCTCCAACCCACCCCAGGCCAAAAATACAACAAAGCTTCGAAAGGCAGCATCACCGCAGAACCTTCTTGGGCGAATGGCAATGGGCAGTACGTCTGTTTTGCGGGCTGGCTGAAGATGCAATGCAACAACGAACCCACTCAGCTCCGGCGAGGCTGTCAAAGCAAACCAAATGCCAAACGCTTCAAACACCCGCGCAACCCCTCCCCACAAGGGCACCAAATCCGCAGTCCGACCTCCAAGACGAAAATAGCTCGCGCAAAGGACTGCAGCCAGAAAGCGTGCATGCAATACTCGACCGCCTGACTTAACTGGGCTAAAAGGGGCCTTGCAAACCCAGCAGCCCTATTTATGCGCCTCAATCCCTCCTTCAACCCGCAACTGAGGCCGAAAAGACCGGTCTGCGCAAGAACAACCGCGGCTTGGAACTGGAAACTACGGCTTTCGGGGCGCCTGCGGGTGACCCCGTTCTGGACGCCCTGGGAGAAGGCGAAGAGCAGAAGCGCCTCCGAGGCGGCGCCGTTGGAGCCTTCCGCGCTGTGTGCCTCGGGGCAGCGCTTTCCCATCTCTTGCTATGGCTGCTACTAAGTGTCCATTAAGATATACAGCTATGAAGTTGTAGTGAATCAGAGCCATGAGGGGTGCCATTGCAACCTAGTGACCATTGGTGACTATCAGTGACTACTGGTCGCCATTGTCTTTCTCATGGCTCCCTTTGCTACGGTCTGAATCCGCATTTTGGGTTGGTGGCTGCACCCAAAAAGAAATCCCCAATCCGATTGAGAAGCAAAAGCATCCCTGCGAGGGAACAAAAGCAAGCAGGCAACAGACAGAGTGGGCGGTGACAGGAAGAATCGAGACCACATCCTTGCCTGGCCAAATGCACAAAACTGCCCAAACAGTCTCCTAAAACCCAAATTAGCATGGTTCATGGTGATTTGGCATGAGCAGACCCTTGGAAATACGGCGATCCGTTTATTAGTTTGAATGGAGTTGAGGTGGACCCTGCCCACATACACGTATTGTATCGATGCAATGTCGTAAGCACATGATGGTTGCGTGAATCCATGACCAGCGGCGACAGCCCCCTACAAAAACCTCATTTAAATCCCCAGCCCCCACCCCGCCCCACCCACCCCCTACCCAACACCCCGCCTTGCAGTAGTGGATGAGGCACCCGAAGACCACCGCCATGGCTGCACCCAGCATGTTAGGAGACCCCCGCTGGGTGTACAGCGCCTCCGCGTCGCTCTTGCTGTAGCCCGCGAAGAAGGAGCCAAAGCCTTGGCGACGGCCAGAGTTGGTCAAACCAACCCCTGGCCTTCTTCCTGGCCTCCAATCGAAACCCAAAGGCGGTCAGAACAATGGCTTAAACATGTGTAAACAAGGGCCAGCGCTAGGTCCGACCCTCCTGCCAACTGCTGTCAACTTCTCAACAGCGACTCTACTTCTTTGATTTGGGACCGTGTTTCCATGGATCAACAAGACACAGCAAGCTAAAACTACCAGGACAAAGTTCCAATGGGCGTTTCAGAAGGTGAGGTTTGCTATGGGGGGACCCTTGGGATTCTGTTTGACCGCGGGAGGTCCTGCAGGATCAAACACGAAAATGCCCCACCGGGCCACAGAAGGCGCACAGCAGGTGGAAGAACTTGGCGCCACCGTTCAAGATCAGCCTGACGGGACCGGTGACAGCTTGTGCATTCGCCGTGGCAAACGTTTAGGGGGTGGGCGCGCTGCGCCCAACAAGTGAAGCATCCAGTCAAAAACTTGAAGGATTGATCTATTCTGTTCATCCATCGATCTCAAATCAAGATCCACCTAGATTACCTCCGGCAATGTCAAGATGTGGATTCCTGACCCATGCACTCCAGGCTGAAGGGAAACCCCCCTGCATGAAACCGGAGTGAGGTGAGCTTTGGCGACCCGGAGGCCCCAAGGCAACCCCCCCGCACCCGGCAACGCGCTTGCCTTACAAAGGGTTCCTGGAAAGTTCTTTTCTTGAACATGGTTTCCCATCATTCTAGGGGTTGATTCCCCATTCTTTTCAACCATCGTTTTTTCAAAAACCAGCCGTTTTCCCTGGGATTCCGGAGGTTTTCTGTCTAGAACCCTGGAAAGAATGGGGAAGGTGCCCCTGTAATCATGACTTGCTCAGGTTTTGGATCACCCCAAGGCCCGGCCTGCCCGCGTGGCTGGTGTTGCCGCTCTGGTGGCTGACCGTCATGCCCATGTCAAAGATGGTCAGCGCGTTGATCCAGCCGGAGGCAAAGCACAAGATGTTCTGGATCCTCTCAGGGCCGGGTAAGAAAAACCAACCTTCTGGAAAACCATAACTTGAAGTGCCAACAGGAAAACAAAACGGGAAATCAAGCAGCTTAACCAGCAAAGAATCAACCCGCCAAGAGGAAGCTCGCTTTACTGTCCCAACATCTGATGTTTCAAACCAGCAAGGGTTAAACGGGGGAAGTCCAGGCAAGCCCGGGACAAGAGGAAACCAACCGAAGCGCAGACTCTGAAAAGGGGGGTTGTAACCTAATCAAAGGGCACGTCCCCGTTTCAGGCCGGTTACACGTTTAGATCCTTCGACGCGTTGCTTCTTTTTCGATTCAGCACAAAACGCCTCTCAAAACGCCCTGTGATTCTTTGCGGGGGGATCAACAGCCTGGCACAAAACAACCCGTTTTGAGCGTTTCGGGTCATCAGGAAGGTGACGTAGTCCGCCCGCTTCTCCGCAGGCCCTGCTGACGGGGAGCTAGAGCTTTCCAGGCACGCAATGGAACCGGACACGGCCATCATCAAGAAGGAAATCCTCGAACCCGAGGCTTTCTGCTTACATCTTGGTTGCAGTTGACCCCTCTGCAAAAATCTTAACTTGTGGGTTCAATGGAAACCCTTCATTTCCCCAGAAGTCAAAGCACACAGATCCGACCCAATAGCAATCAAGGTTTGACCGATATGTTGCTTGATTTAAAATTTTGCTTGCTCGCTCGCTTGCTTGCTTGGCTGCTTGGTTGGTTGGGTGGGAAGGGAGGCAGACAAAAGGCCCGACTGTTGGCAAGGATGGAAAAGTTGGGCAATGAGAAATTACCCAGGCAGTGATGTGAACTTCAAAACACAATCTCAAAAAGGGATACGCTTGAAACACAACATCCGAAGTGGATCGTCGCAACAGGCTCCAGCCCTCTTAGCCCTTTTGCGGCTGCGAGAAAACGTCTGCTTGAGGAAAATGAGAGTCAGGAGCGCGTGGTCCGCAATGAACTGAGCGAAGGGCGTCTGCTCTAGTTCAGCATCGTTCATCCTTGGTCAATCTGACCCCTGCCAAACATTGAGCGAAAGCCAGTTGGGGAGGGAGCTCCCTATCTCCACATTGCACCACAAAGGGGGTATTCTAAGTTCAAGTAGGACTGAGGATGACTAACCAGCCAGCTTAAATGATGCATGTCATACCCCATTAGGCATTGTTGAGCTCTGAGACAACCAAAGCTCTTGGTGAACGCGCTTGACTGGAAGCTCAGCGCGCAAAGCGCCCCCAGCAGCAGCAGCAGCCCGCCACGCTTGGAGCGACTGAATGCCATGGCACGTGTCATTGCGTCCGGCAAGGGAAGGCTACAGAAGGCTACTTGAGCCACCGAACGTTTTGGCCGTGAACATTTCAATGAAGGATTCTTTGGTGGACATCATCTAGGGGCCATGTGCGCCAACCACTTTGGAGGTGGTTCCCTACCTACAATAAGCAGCCATCGCTTTTTTAAAGAGGACTTGCAAAACCCTGTCTTGGAGGGATCTGAAATGTCCCTAGACCTCAACCTGGTCCCACCGGGCGAGCGCAGCTCGCGGTCTTTGTTTTACTCGGCCAAGAGCTCGAGTCCTTGCAGAAGCTCCTGGCCGGCGCGGTGAAGAGCGACCTGAACAACGTTCCTTACATCAGCTTCCCTCCAATTGGTGGCTTGGGTTTGTGGTTTGGAAGGTGAGGGGTAGCTTCCCATTTACCCTCAGGGCAAGAAAAGGGAGTTCAAAACCAAGGGAGAACCTGACTATATGGTCGGTTGCCCATATTGACTGTCTTGTTCTTTGCGGGGCGATGTTCAAAGGGCACACCCTGCTAAAGAAAGGACTTGATTGAAAGACTCATCTGAAACTGACAATGTAACAACCAATGGAACAAGCCAGTCACCCCACCAACACAAATTAACAGTCGGTGTTGTTCCTTTGCATTGCTTCTCTTTCACCTCACTCAACTCGGCACGTACTGCAGAGTCAGTGTGGCAACATACCTGCAGCCCCCCAGAATTTCAAGGAAGTGCCAAGGGAGCCTTCATGGGGCAGCTCGTTCACCTCTACTTGGGGCCGCCGTAATGGACAGTTGCCCTCTTCTCTTTGGAAACCTTTGGGTGGTCTGCGGGCACCTCACAGCCACGAAACACCTAAGGTTCTAGCAGCCCCCTCTGCCTGGTCCCCCCACACCCCGCTTCAAGTTTTTTTTGCAAAAAACTTGGTAGCCGTGCGGCACGTGTTGCCAAACATGGCTCATGCGCCCTTGTACAATATGTTGCTCAGCGGCCGGTGTTCAAAGGGAAGCCATATGGCCGGGCCTTAGGTCCCCAGAAGCTGGAGTACTAGGGGCTACCACAACCCCCTGCAAACCAGCTACGAGTTGTCATTTGCATCTCTCTGCGAACCGTTGTCCTCCAAGTTCTGTCTCTCGCTTTGGACATGTGCATTGAACAAGGATTCACGTTCCTTTGATTTGCATCCGATGTTAATTACACAGACGTTCTTGGAAGTTGAGGCTCATTCACATTGACCTCGGTTGGTATGGAAACGTCCGGATGAGCTCCAAGCTGCCCTGGAAAATTCCACGTATGCCCTTTGAGCGAGGCATGACACGACTTTGACAGATCCAACCCGAGTTTGTTCGACTGTTTGATAGGCCCAACGAATGGGAGGAGGGGGCAATTCATGAATCGACAAGCGGACCTTGTGAGTGAGAAGGCGTCTATCTTCCCCAATTTTCATGTTGGCTTCGCTTCAGGTCGCAAGCTCCTGGCCTCTCTTGGCACCCAGCTGAAGCACAAACGTGTGCGATCCCGGAAGTCGTCGCGTGCGAGGCACATCTGCCCCCCACCTGGTGAGCACGCAATTCCCCACAGGCAAAGTGCTTGGATTTTCACGAGGTCGCTAGTTTGAACCAAGCCCCTACTGTACCTCCAAGCTGGGTGGGGGAGAGAATACGTTTGCTGAAAAAACGCCGCCCCCGCCGCCCCCGCCGCCCCCCCCCCCCCCCCGGCAAGAACCAAAGGAAGAAGAAGAAGAAGAAAAGGAAGTTATATAAGTGAAAAGCTTCTGGTCCATGAAAGCGAAGTGTTAAGTCAATTGAATGTGAAGAGGTCTTCTGTCTGGCTCACAGAGGGCCTCTGCCAATGCGCGTGCCATCGCCCTTCACCCACACAAAGTAGCCGCCCTTCGGCTCCTGGACCTTCAGGGCATGTTCGACACATGGCAGCTGTTGAAGGTGAGAACCGATGTCACCAGCACACGGTTTCCCACGACATGAGCCTCAGGACACAAGCCGAAAGGCACTAGCCCCCAAAGCCTCCCGATGCCTCCCACCTATGGTTCTCTCTAGGTGTTGACTTGTCCAAACCGGAAATCCATGCCCTCCCCAAGAAAAAGAACAATGGAAGGACCCCTCCCCCCAAAACCAAAATAAGCGGAGTTTTGAAAAGGGGCTGCCCGCCTCCACCCGGAGCTCCCGGAGGCGCGTGCAGAGGAGGCGGCAGCGCGCGCCCAGCTCGGAGCAGAGGAAGGCCAGGTGCTGCGACAGTTGGCCCGAGTCCATGAAGTGCTTCAGAGCCATGGAGCTAAAGGTCACCTCAATCGGGAGTCGCTTCGATGGCTATCCGACAGAATTGCCATCAGGCCAAAACCCTTCCGGCCGATGGGTCTTGGACATTGAGGATGGGAGCACGCCAGGATTACCGTTGATTCATCAATATCGAGTTGCACCAGGATGACTATTGATTCATCACGATCGAATATCTCCTGGATTGTGCCTGACCCTATATGTTCGGTCACACAAGGATGCCCCTAACGGCCATTCTAAACCAGGTTTGTATGTTTCGATTGGTCTGGACTGGGCTATGCTGCAGGGTTGTTGTTGGGTGTCTCTCTGTTTGTGCTTAGCTTCCTTCTTGGTTGCCATGAGGTGTTCGGCCACCTTAACCGAGCGAACCCTTTGTAGGGTTTATCATGTTTAGAGGGCACCCCTCCAAGAAAAAAGGGAAGAAGGGTACCACGCTACGGATTTCGGAGGGGGGTAGGCCCATCTGATCCAACTCACAATTCCATAGATGAAATTGTCCAAGGGTCATCGTGCAGTTAAACAAGATGATAGATCAAACTGGTCGATTGGCTACCACGGATGTATTCACTTTTGGTTGGCCGAAGGCCTGCTGACATTCGCAACCCGGAACCACCCAAAAGCATCCGTTTTTGAGAAGAACCTGGCTGGGAGACAGATTACCTGTCTTCCATCCCCCCCCCCCAAACCACAGAGGTATGCCAAAAACACTCCCTCCAGCCCCCACCAAAAACAGTCCAAAAAGGGTCAGGACAGGCTAAGCAACAAACAAGCACCACTGAAAGCAACAGCTGGTGAAATGACTTTCAATAAAACTCCTTTTCTCACTGGCTTTGCTCGGCTGGTCGCCTCGATGAAAAGTGCGAGTCGTGGATGCTTGCCCTGCTAGCCGTCTTCCTTGACAAGCATCAACCGCAAAAATACAACACAAATCAGCCAAATGTAGCCTCAAATGACAAAATACGACTCCCCTGCAAACACGCCAGCTGCTGCTCGTGTTGCCGTGTTGCCACCGCTGGCAAAATAGCCCACCTCGATCGGCAAAGCGACACTCGAAGTGAACCACCACCGAAGATTTCCACACCGAGTAAGAAGCTCTGCTAGCCAGTTCTAGCAAGAGATCTAAGGGTTTCTATGCAGAGTGCAAAGCTGGCGTTGGACATCCTCCTTTTGAGTTGAGTGTGCTTGGGAGTGCATGGGCGCCAGGTGATGCTAGCTCCGCTGCCGTTGATGTTGTTCACGAAGCTCCAAACCCCCTGTCATCTTCCATTGCGATGACGGGGCGTTCTTGAAAAGAGGGATGGTTGAAACCAAAACAGGGGAGTCAACTCTCAAACATGCGGGCGCAGCTGGTTTCAGTATGTTTCAGTGTAGTCTTTCAAGGTCTTTTAAGGTTGCTTCCTCCAAAGGAATGCCTTCAGAGAAAACCGACGCCTTTTTTGGGGGGTCCACCGGCGCCTTGGTCAGGGGCTGCAGCAGCTGCCGGTGCGCTTGGACCCAGCCCACCTTGAGGCCGGGGCCTCGGAAACCGCCGAAGCCGCTCTCGGTTTCGGGGTGGCCGGCGGGGTTGCCGCCGGAGCAAACTCCAACGCCTTTTGGTGGAAACTTCCCCTAATTATGGCCCATACTCGGAATGGTTCGATCCAATCCAGGTGGATGTTGATTTGACTTTTTAGGATCGGAATGTCCTTTTGGGGGAGTCCCAGTCCCCGTTATTCCTCAAAGGGAGTTTGCACGGTCCACAGCATTCCCCAAAGCATGAACCATGGATCCTTTTCTTTATTCCTCAAATAATCTCCCATACTCCTTTTGACTTTTTAGGATCGGAATTTCCTTTTGGGGGAGTTCCAGTCCCTGTATATACCTTCTTCCCAATGGGCGCACACGGACCCCGTAAAATGGATTCCATTTTTTTCAGCCTGTGACCTGCGGGGGCTCGCTATGGGCTTCTGGCCTATGAGCTTGGAGAATGTGCCGATGGACAAGACCCGCGGCTCCGCCGGGTCGTCGTGGTAGAAGAGCGGCTTCACCTCCCAAACAAAACCGTCAACCCGCTGCCTCTTGATTGGCGGCTCTGTTGCCCAAAGGGCCTAGAAAGAAAAGGTTAACCGTCGAACACCTTTTATTAAAAGTGGATCCAAAACGGGAAAAGCAAAAAATCAAGAGGTCGGAATTGGGCAACTGAGTTGATCACCCAAAAGGAGGCTTCACTTGATATCACAACAATTGGCAGCAATATATGGTCCACAACTATGGATTTGGGCAGCGTAAGACGCACCCCTCTATGATGAGTTTGCTGCTGCTTGCGACTGAAGAACCCACCTTTTTGACCAAGGGCAGGCTTCATATTTAGGGGACTCGGCAAAGGAATACTGGGAGCCAGGACAAGGCAGGAAAGCAGATCTGAGCAAAAACGTGCCGAACCGGACATGAGGCTCCACTTTAGGCCGCTAGCCAATTGGCCAACCATCCAGCCAGGGCTGTTCAAAAACGGAGGACTCTGTTGTTTCCTCTCCCTCTCTCTCTCTCTCCCTCTCTCTCTCTCTCTCTCTCTCTCTCTCTCTCTCTCTCTCTCTGTGCCTCTCCAGCGCTATCCCGCAGGCCCCAAAAATCCAAAAATGTAGGCTTGGACAACCCTACTCCACCCGAATCAGGAAAGGAAACAAGAAGGCCCAATCCTTGCGCAACCCAACACCCAGGATCTTCTGGGCCTCTGAACTGCCGGCCCAGTGAACTCTGTGAGATCTACTCCCTGCAAAGTAGGATGGAACCCAAAAAAGGGGGGTCCCTCACAGGGAGACTCTCCAAAACACGCTTTGGGTGGTATTTGGGCGGGCTCCATGTCAAAACAAAAGTGACTTTCCTCGCACATACAGAGAGTTCCGAGGTTCCAAGTAAAGCAGAAACTTGCCCAGAGGCCTGGCTGGGCTCGAAGTTGAGCATCTGGTACGCCTAGCCAGACTGAGCCGAACGCGAGCCCGGACGGCCCCCTTCTTGGGGGGCGGTTCGCTTCACCCTGCGGAGGGGGAGGGGGGGGGGGGAGGATTTACATCATGTGCGACGTGTTGTTCCTTCTCCTTGAAAGCAATCCCTCCCTCTTTCGTCTGAAGCTCCGCGCGTCCAGGGTTGCGCAAGCCTTCCTAAAGCCAACAGGCAAGCTACAGTCAATGCCAGGGCCACGTTCAAACATGCTTCTCGCCCCTGTCCGAACCCCTTGTTGGGACAGCTTCGCTTAAAGAGGCCTTTTGCTGGGCCTTTCTGCTGCCCTGTTCACGCCAAGCGGTCGCAGGAAGTAAGGCAAGGGCATGGCCGCATATTCCTTACGAGCCTCGCATCATGCGCTCTAACCTGCCCCCAAAACACAACATGTGTTTTGGTTCTGGTCAATATTTGTTTAGCGAACCTAAAAGATCCAAGTATTTTCTAATGCGCCTCCAGCACCGGGGAAAGCCAAATTGCGACACCAGACACCGGGAGAAGCATGCCACACGCCTCATCCGCCACCACCAGGAACCCGTGGCGTCGCGCTAGGGCCACCAGACCCTGCCGCTTCGCCTCCGAGGTGGTCACGCCTAGCGAGCCGGCAACAGTCGACATGGGCTTGCGTTTTGATGCATCCACGTAACCCATGGCGTTTCGGGCCTGGTGGCGGGGGTTTCGGGCAATTAGCTCATCTTCTCCAAAACGAGAAAAAGGCATAGTAAGGAGCAGGGGTTATGCAGGTGTCCGGTTTCTGCGTTTGGGCTTTGTAGCGCATCCAGTCCCTTTGTGTTCCTTTCTGACCATCCAGGTGCCCACGGGCATGCGTCATACGACAAAAAAGGGGGGAAAAACAGAAGAAGAAACAAAAACGGGTTTCCTTACAACTCTAAGACGGGGACCCGCAAAAAGCAGCACCAGTCCAGGATAGCGATCACTTCGCAGGTTCAATCCAGGCCCGCCTGTGGGATTCTGATGGATCGGGATGGTGTACACAACGCGCACCCTGCCTGCGGTGTGCGCATTGGGCGAGAAATTTTGCAGAGCCCAAGTTCCTCCTGGAAAGCAGGGAAAGGAAACCAGTTGAATATTGTCAAGGTCCTCTACTATGCCACTCCCAGGCACCTCCATTCTGCAGCTCCGCTGCGAGCTCTTTCGGGATCCCTTTTCCGTTCGAACAAGCCACTCAAGAAGGCACACCCCGCCCCACCCCCACCCGCCAGGAGGCGCCCATTTCCGGCTCACCGCTGCCTTGTGCCCAAGTGGGCAAGGCAAAGGGGCTGAAAGGATACGCCATTTCAGGGGAATCCTTTGTTGGGGTAAACACCCCCCTGGCCACCATACTCATGGATCAACATCACAGCGCCCTCACCAGCAGAAAATGGCACTAGGAGTTCGAGTCTGTGGCACATGTTGAAATGATCCGACTGAGCGGCTGCCTGCTTTGGAGTTTCTACTTGAAATCCGTAGATACTGCATTTGCCCTGAAAAGTATGACAAAAGACAACCCTACACCAACGGAAGGATCTTTCCAAGGATCTTCCCAGGTAGAAAGTTTCTCTTTGATGGGGAACCAGGTGTGCGACTACTTGAAGCACAAATCAGTTTTGGACACTCAGACAGCACCTCGTTGCTGCCTTCATTCCTGGAGCTTGCGTGGCGAAGTCCAAAAGCCTACCTATCCTCCGCGATTGCTGGAAACAAGGCACCTCTGCTTTTCCAGCTAGCGGCCTTTGTTTTATTTCAGGTTAGTATCTTTGTATTAGTATTGTTGTTGGTTGTTCTTTGTGTGTTTGTTTGTTTGTTGTTTTCTTTGTGTGTGTGTGTGTGTTTTTTTCTTTTGGGGGGGGGGGGGGGGGGCGAACAAAAAGGCCCCCGAAAGCGCTTTTGAGATCCAAATGGCCTGTGGACACACACAGCTCCTCCAGCTCTTTGAGATCCAAGCCGTCCTCCTGCATCAGGACACCCTTCAGCTCCATGCCTTGCGCGGTTAAGGGGCAAAGGTACCCTGTCTGTTCTCGGTTGCGAAATCTGCTAAAAGTTAAGAACTTTTAGTGGCTTAATTCGGAAAACCCAAAAAAGTTGGCAAGAAGTTAAAGTCAACTAACATCCCTTGGCAAAATGCGCCCCAAAGTGCTAAGGTATAGAATGGTCCCGCGGTTTATCAGGTTTTCATGGTCTAGAAGTTTTGTAGATTTGGGCATGTCACGTCTTGAGGAGACCCCCAAAATGGCTGGTTTGTCCTTTTGGTGCGCCTGGAAAAACCACACACACAAAATTACACCAGCAGAGACCCCAAACAGTTGAGGGCTGACGGGCGAGCACAAACATGCCAACAGCTTGTGGCTTTCTGCGCTTCAACACGGATGAATCAAAATGATGCAGTCGTGAACCTGGCGCGCGTTGCGTTGCTGCACGTGTGTTGCTGGCGTGCTTCGCGCTTCAGCACCGCGCCAGAACTGAGGTTGGGCAAGCGCGCGCGATGGCGGGCGAGCGCGCGCGCGTGAACGCAAGTGTGGCCGCGCAAGCACGCAGTCACATGGGCAGTTCAAACACACATGTCCAATTCAGACACACATGTGTGTACACGTGGAACACACATACGTATACGACTGAAACAGTATACATTCACCTGCGGCACACGCATAAATGTGTTGAGCTGGAAAACAAACATGTGCTTCTTGGAAAGCACACACACACATGTGCAAACGTGGAACGCACATACGTGTTCACTTACGACACGCTAATGCGTTCACGTGGAACACACATGTGTGTTCACTTGGAACGCAATGAAACGCGTGTCCAATTCAGACACACATGTGTGTACACGTGGAACACACATGCGTTCACCTGGAACACAAAGACGCGCAATTAAAGCACACATGTGTGTACGTGTGGGACACACATATGTATACCACTGGAACGCAAACATGTGTCCACCTGGAACACCGCGTGTGCACGTGAACACACACATATTTATATATATATATATGCGCACCCGGAACACACACACACACACGTGCGTTCATCTGAAAACAAACATGTCTTCACCTGAAACACAAACACGTGTCCAATTGGAACAAACATGTGTGGACACATGAACTCACAAATGTGTACATGTGGAACACACATATGTGTGCAAATGAACACACATACATGCGCACGCGGAGCAGACACACACACACACACGCGTTCATCTGATAACAAACATGTGTCCTCCTGGAACACAAACACGTGTCCAGTTGGAACGCACATGTGTGCACGCGCGAACACACAATGTGTGCCGTGAACACACATACAAAAAAGTGCACGCGGAGCAGACACACACGCACGTGTTCATCTGATAACAAACATGTGTTCTCCTGGAACACAACCGTGTGTCTAATTGGAACACAGACGTGTGTACACGTGAACACACATATGTGTACACGTGAACACACACATATATACGCGCACCCGGAACACACACACACACGAGTGTTCATCTGAAAACAAACATGTGTTCACCTGGAACACAAACACGTGTCCATTGGAACACACATGTGTGTACACGTGAACACACATATGTGTACACGTGGGAGACGCAAATGCGCACACGTGAACACACACATGTGCACACGTGCAACACACACATGTGTACTGCACATGTGAACACACACATTTATGCGCGCGCGGAAAACACAGACACACACGAGTGTTCATCTGATAACAAACACGTGTTCTCCTGGAACACAACCGTGTGTCTAATTGGAACACAGACGTGTGTACACGTGAACACACATATGTGTACACGTGAACACAGCACACGTGGAACACACACATGTGTACTGCACATGTGAACACACACATTTATGCGCGCGCGGAAAACACAGACACACACGAGTGTTCATCTGATAACAAACACGTGTTCTCCTGGAACACAACCGTGTGTCTAATTGGAACACAGACGTGTGTACACGTGAACACACATATGTGTACACGTGAACACACACACATATATATGCGCACCCGGAACACACACACACGTGCGTTCATCTGAAAACAAACATGTATTCACCTGAAACACAAACACGTGTCCAATTGGAACACACATGTGTGGACACGTGAACACACAAATGTGTGCACGTGGAACACACATATGTGTGCAAATGAACACACACACATGCGCATGCGGAGCAGACACACACACACACACGTGTTCATCTGATAACAAACATGTGTCCTCCTGGAACACAAACACGTGTCCAGTTGGAACGCACATGTGCGCACGCGTGAACACACAATGTGTGCAGGTGAACACACATAGAAAAAAAGCGCACGCGGAGCAGACACACACGCACGTGTTCATCTGATAACAAACATGTGTTCTCCTGGAACACATACATGTGTCTGATAAGAACACACATGTGTGCACACGTGAACACACATATGTGTACACGTGCAACACGCATATGTGCGCACGTGAACGCACATATGTGTACATGTGGAACACACATATGTGCACACGCGAACACACACACACACGCATATATATATATATATATGCGCGCCCGGAACACGCACACACACACACACATGCGTACACCTGGAACACATATGTGTGTATGTCTGGAAAGCACATTTCTGTTCACCTGCAACACACATATGTGTTCACCTGGAACCCATATATGCGCTCACTTGGAACAGGCATTTGTGTTCACGTGCGACACTGGTGCAGACCTGGATCACACAAGCATGTTTAACCAGAACAAACTTCTGTGTTGACTTGTAACACACATATGTGTACACATGGAACACACGTGTGTGCACATGTGGAGAAACATGTGCAACACAAATGTGCAACACACATGCGTTCACCTGGACAACAAAAATGTGTTCACATGGAATTTACATTTCCTGCACGCCTGGGCGACACATAAATCAAGTTCCCGAAGCCGGCTGTGAGGCGCTATTCCATGGGGCTCTGCCTTGAACAACGCTTGTGTTTTATATGCGTGTTCCAAGTAGGAAAATAGTGTTCGTGTACGATCAATCTAGCTTTTTTGCAACACATTGCTAGCGCGCGAGCCTGCTGCTGCTGCTGCTACTACTGCTAGTACTATCAGTATCGGATGCGTCTCCAGCAGTTACAGGCTTCAGCTTAGCAAAAGCTTTCCGGCGCATTGCGCTTCTTTCTCGCTTAGCTGCACAGTGTCTTTCGTATCGATTGCTAAAGTGCTTTGATCGTATTGTGGCAACTCTTCGTATCGATTCAGTAAAGCATTTGCTTTCGCAGGGAAATACGCAACCCAATTCTTCCGTATGCTCGGTACAAGGCATCCCTGCCGTCTTGCCTCAGCCGTTGTTTCTCCCCTTTGTCCAGCAAATCGCACTCCATGATAATTGCATGCGAGGAGAGCGGAAGCAAATTTGGATTGAAGCGTAACTGGGAACCGGTCACAGCTGACCACTGCGCTAGCGCCTTGCTAGCGCGCGGCTAGCGCGGGTTCGCCGTATTTTTTGGAGTCACGGCGACCATCTGTGTGGATTTGACAAATTAAGGCCACGTAAGATGAAGGTAAACGTGCGGGCTGGCTTCAAGTACTAAGTAAGAACTGCAACATTACACCCTTGAAAGCCACGCAAAGCCCATCGCGGCAACCCACGCGCCAACTCTTGGAAACCAAGATCACCGAAGACCCTAGCGCAAACCAAGCGCCATCCTAGCGCCTCCAGTGGGGAGCGGGCAATCCATTGGTATTTGCAGGACTCCGCTTTGTGTGAATGAAAAACTGCACAAAGTGACTGCGACGGTGGCCTCTGTAGACTAAACCCCCTTACTAGGAATTTTGACCGGATCGCATATGTGTTTTATCAGAACAATCGCATGCTTTCACCTGGAACACAAACATGTGCTGACGTGGAACACACTCATGTGGTCACATGCAAAAAGTGCGTGTTCACTTGGAACGCGCCGATGTGGTCAGCTGGAACACACCAAGAACACACAATCATTTACTTGAAGCACTCGTACGTGCATCCGCAGCATGCTGCCTGTGGCTTGATCAAGCGCACGCGCGCGCTCAAACACACGTTTCTGAGCCTCAAACACACATGCGTGCCCGCGGAATACACCGCGAATGACCAGGGAGCCGTGCCAGGCATCCAGGCTGGGGGACAACAAGAAGGAGACAAAGGGAGACAAATGAACCCGTCCGCCCGGAGAGCCGTGCCAGACATCCAAGCTGGGAGACAAACGAATCCGTCCACCCAGAGAGCCGTGACAGGCATCCAGGCTGGGAGACAACCGGGGCCAAACAAAGGGAGACAAATGAATCTGTCAGGCAAATGAAGGGAGAGGAACCCGTCCGCCGGGAGAGCCGGGACAACCCCAGGTGCCAAGAGCACCACTGGGTATCTCAGCGTAAGGTTCGTTGAACATCCTCGAAGAATCGATAGACGATTTAACTCCAGCGGAATTCACGTTTGTTTCACCGGGGTTAACAGAGCCTTCTCGTAGCTGAAGCCGTGCACCGCAGCGCACCGCTCTTGTCAGCTCGGGGCTCCAAATGCGAGCAAGGACAGAGAGAGGCCGCAACTGATAACGAGGCACTGAACGAACAGACAGGGTGTAGCCAACGATAGACAAGGAAGACGACCCACCACGAGCCCAAGCGAAATCGAAGTCCAGATGAAGGGCAGACAGAGGACCCTGTCCCCAACATCCACAAGACAAGGAATGACCGAAGCCAGGGCCGAAGCCGAAGGCAAACCAGACCCCGCCAAAAGGACAGAACCGCGGGAAGTGAAGGAAACCGCGGAGCGTGAGTGCCACACATCCAGGCTGGGAGACAACGGGAGACAAATGAATCCGTCCACCCAGAGGGGCATCCAGGCTGGGAGACAACGGGAGACAAACAAAGGGAGACAAAGGGAGACAAATGAATCCGTCCACCCAGAGAGGCATCCAGGCTGGGAGACAACGGGAGACAAATAAAGGGAGACAAAGGGAGACAAATCAATCCGTCCACCCACAGAGATGGGAGACAAATGAAGGGGAACCAAGGGAGACAAGTGAATCCGTCCGCCTGGAGAGCCGTGACAGACATCCAGGCTGGGAGACAAGGGGAGCCAAATGAAGGGAGACAAAGGGAGACAAGTGAAACTGTCCACCCAAAGAGCCGTGCCAGGCATCCAGGCTGGGAGACAACGGGAGACAAATGAAGGGAGACAAAGGGAGACAAGTGAATCTGTCCGCCTGGAGAGCCGTGCCAGACATCCAGGCTGGGAGACAACGGGAGACAAATGAAGGGAAACAAAGCCCAGAGAGCCGTGCCAGACAAATGAAGGGAGACAAAGGGAGACAAATGAACCCGTCCACCCAGAGAGCCGTGCCAGGCATCCAGGCTGGGAGGCAACGGGAGACAAATGAAGGGAGACAAAGGGTGACAAATGAACCCGTCCACCCAGAGAGCCGTGCCAGGCATCCAGGCTGGGAGACAACGGGAGACAAATGAAGGGAGACAAAGGGAGACAAATGAACCCCTCCACCCCAGAGAGCCGTGACAGGCGTCCAGGCTGGGAGACAACCGGGGCCAAATAAAGGGAGACAAAGGGAGACAAATGAACCCGTCCACCCAGAGAGCCGTGCCAGGCATCCAGGCTGGGAGACAACGGGAGACAAATGAAGGGAGACAAAGGGAGACAAATGAACCCCTCCACCCCAGAGAGCCGTGACAGGCGTCCAGGCTGGGAGACAACCGGGGCCAAATAAAGGGAGACAAAGGGAGACAAATGAGTCCGTCAGGCAAATGGAGGGAGAGGGAGACAAATGAACCCGTCCGCCGGGAGAGCCGGGACAACCCCAGGTGCCAAGAGCACCACTGGGTATCTCAGCGTAAGGTTCGTTGAACATCCTCGAAGAATCGATAGACGGATTTAACTCCAGCGTGATTCACGTTTGTTTCACCGGGGGGTTAACAGAGCCTTCTCGTAGCTGAAGCCGCGCACCGCAGCGCACCGCTATCGTCAGCTCGGGACCGCAACTGATAACGAGGCACTGAACGAACAGACAGGGTGTAGCCAACGATAGACAAGGAAGACGACCCACCACGAGCCCAAGCGAAATCGAAGTCCAGATGAAGGGCAGACAGAGGAGGACCCTGTCCCCAACATCCACAAGACAAGGAATGACCGAAGCCAGGGCCAAAGCCGAAGGCAAACCAGACCCCGCCAAAAGGACAGAACCGCGGGAAGTGAAGGAAACCGCGGAGCGTGAGTGCCACACATCCAGGCTGGGAGACAACGGGAGACAAATAAAGGGAGACAAAGGGAAACAAATGAATCCGTCCACCCACAGAGATGGGAGACAAATGAAGGGGAACCAAGGGAGACAAGTGAATCCGTCCGCCTGGAGAGCCGTGACAGACATCCAGGCTGGGAGACAACAGGAGCCAAATGAAGGGAGACAAAGGGAGAAAAGTGAATCTGTCCACCAAAAAAACAGTGCCAGGCATCCAGGCTGGGAGACAACGGGAGACAAATGAAGGGAAACAAAGGGGTGCCAGACGTCCTGGAAGACATCTGGAAGACAAAGGTAGACAAATGAACCCGTCCACTCAGAGAGCCGCGCCAGGCATCCAGGCTGGGAGACAACGGGAGACAAATGAAGGGAGACAAAGGGAGACAAATGAACCCGTCCACCCAGAGAGCCGTGCCAGGCATCCAGGCTGGGACACAACGGGAGAAATCAAGGGAGACAAAGGGAGACAAATGAACCCGTCCACCCAGAGAGCCGTGCCAGGCATCCAGGCTGGGAGAGAACGGGAGACAAATGAAGGGGACAAAGGGAGACACATGAACCCGTCCACCCAAGGCTGGGAGACAACGGGCGACAAATGAAGGGAGACAAAGGGAGACAAGTGATTCTGTCCACCCAGGCATCCAGGCTGGGAGACAACGGGAGACAAATGCCGTCCACCCAGAGAGCCGTGCCAGGCATCCAGGCTGGGAGACAACGGGAGACAAATGACAAAGGGAGACAAATGAACCCGTCCACCCAGACTGGATCATCCAGGCTGGGAGACAACGGGAGACAAATGAAGGGAGACAAAGGGAGACAAGTGAACCCAGGGAGACAAACGAACGCGTCCACCCAGAGAGCCGTGCCAGGCATCCAGGCGGGGAGACAACGGGAGACAAATGAAGGGAGACACAGGGAGACAAATGAACCCGTCCACCCAGAGAGCTGTGCCAGGCATCCAGGCTAGGGCTTGGCAACAGGCGAGCCACCTTAAATGAATTTAGAACCCCTCACAGTAAACTGTTTGGGGAATAAAAATTGAAAGAAGGTACTCTCAAAAAACACCACAAAGGCCCATAGGCGATTTGTTCAACTTGGCTTATCAGCACGCCCCGACTTTGGACTATGCAAAATCATGCCTGGTCTGGTGTGACTGAACCGTGTTTTGGACCTTGTGGGCCCCAATTGCTTTTCCAAACCCGAAATAGTTTCACATGTTGGAGAAAGGGGGCAAGAGTACCCTCCCTCAAAAATGATGGAAGTTGACAGGGGCGTGTTGGAAGACGATGTTTGCTTTTTGGGTCCCCAACGCCCCGGTCTACTTCCGTGAGTGTTGGACAGAGGGGAACCGACCGTCGATGAGAACCAAAAGCAATCTGCCCGACAGCCTTTCCCTAGACTTCCTGATTTTCGGCAAATCGGCAAGTTGCACCATCCAAATCCTGCGGAAGAGGCCGTTGGCTGAGGGCAATTTCCGACTGTTCTCAGAATGTGGCTCGAGGCGCGTCCGCGCCTTGGTCACGGGCAAAGGAATGTGCGTGGTAGTAGGTGGGCTCCTGCACAGCCAACCCCCTGACGAATTCATTCGGCGGGGTCCTAGGTGGGCATTTTCAGCCACCTCCCAAGGTAGCCCTGCCGAAAAAAGCCTCTCCTTGTGCCGAGTGCCAAGTGTGACATTTACTGGTGCCCTTCAGCCTTCATAGGACCATGATTGAATCATAGCTCTTTTTGTTGCTGCATTCTCTGAGGGTCATGCGTGTCCTGCCAGTGAGATGTTGAATCACCTCATACTCTGAGAAAGCCTAAGCTTTAAACGGCACCAGTTGCTTTGCCGATTGGCACCCTCCGTTCTTTGAAGAGGGTAAATGGATTCCTTTGATTGGCGCAAGCAAGATTATTACGATTGGTTTGCCGTGCCAGGGCCATGCCTCTGACCATTCCATATGGGGGATGGCCACTACTCCGGCGATGAGCCCTGCATGCCCCTCGCGGCACCCCTGTCTAGTTGCGTCTTTCTTGGCTTGCTTGATCCCCGAGTTCCGAGGGCAAGCTAACTGAAGAATTGCCACTTTCAGCGCTTGCGCTTGACAAGGCCCCTGCGCCGGTGCTTGCAAGTGCCCAAGATGCAGCCGTGTCAAATTGTCCGACAAGTGCTGGTGGGGGGGGGAAGACTCCGCACAACTTCCAAACTTTGAAATCCTGGCAAAGCGGATGCGAGGAGATGCTTCCTGGGCTCTGCCAAAAAAGCAGATGACCCTGCATCTGCGGCCCCATTCATGTTCATACCTTCATTAACCCCGTAGTCATTACAAGACTGGTTTCTCTTTAGTTATGTAGGATTCCCTGCTGAGCGTGGATTCCTGACTTCTTGCTACGCATGCTCAATGACTAGTTCCCCAAGCTCAATTGCGGGACGCAAGGATCAAGAGTCCTTGGGCGGTGCAAAACCCGACCGTTCACCACTCGTTCACCAACCTCCTGGCTTCCAATCTTTTCTTCGCCGCCTCTATCTGGCTATCAAGCGGGATAGAAAGCCTAGGTGGCAATCTGGCTCCAGACAAGCGCAACTCCCGCCGCGCACCTCGAAGACGCAAATGTCACCTGCCTGGCACATCCCGGGGTAGTTTCGGAAGCTCGGGCCGGCTGGGCTGCTGGGCCAACAAGGCTCCCTTTTGCTGGTTTGGATTGGTGGCTCGAATTTTGTGGTTTGGATTGGTGGGTTGGGTTCGCTTGGGATTTGAGCCCGCCTTGAAAACAACTGGGAAGATAAATAGCGCCTACGATAAATAAGGCTTCGGGTGAGGCCCAAAACAAACGAGATAAACAACAAGCACGTGCTTGAGAAATCATGGGTGTTGCTGGCGGGTTTGGCATGGTGATTGGTATGGCCTCCAACTCCCAACTGGGGCGACTTGCAGACCCTACAATCTCCGTATGGGAGTGAGCGCACAAAGGCTTTCTGGAAAGAACACCCTTCTTCCAAACTACTCCTGTCTACCTCCTTCTTGGGACAGGCAGGCATTGAGTGGATAGTGGGGTTATGGTTCGCCAACCTGTTGGGAGAAAGGGCGGGGGGGTAGAAGTTCAGAAGAATTGCATTTGCAGCACGTCGTGCGCTTGGCGAGTTCGTAGCCTCCGTTGCGGTGAATGAGGTGTCACACGTGTGGCAAGGTACCCTTTCAGCACCCTTTCGCGTTCAATTGCTTTCTGTCGGAGGGCTTTGCCCCAGTACGGTTTGCACACCTCATGACATTGTCCAATTCTGGTAAATTGCTTGCCTAAGCCAACACACAATGCCGACGAGAGCATCGCTGCGTGCCAGCACCCAATGAAACAAAGTGCAATCAGACCAAAGCACTCGTTTACTAGAACCAAGCCAAGCAAACTTCAGCATGCACAGCACAGAAGTAGAGCACAGATCCATGGTGCATTCACCTACTCAACCATACAATGCCAAACACGCCTTGAGAACCAGAACGAATTCCTCGGCATTGGAATCCCCCGACACGCACAAACGAAAAGAACACAGAACGAGAGCCTCAACTGCACGGCCTCCAACCCCCTGAGGGCCTTCGCGTGAGCTCGGATGCAGAGATCTGCGCCCATTGAGGCCCCAGAAGTGGCAAGCAGCGTCTCTGGCGCCACTGGCGCCCCGTACTGCTGCGACAGGAAGCCTTCGAACCGAGGGCCAAAAAAAAAAAAGCCGGTGGAAAGCTTGGGTGACCCGTTCAATGGGTTCGAACAAGTGGGTTCCTTTAGGGAGGGAGGGAGGGAGGGAGGGAGAGAGAGAGAGAGAGAGTCGGAACGACATGTTTTTTCACCAAGAGAAACCTGCGACGAAATGCCGCAAACCCCAAGACCAAGAAAAAGGGGCATCCCACTTGGACCCACCCCGGGCTTGACTGCGAGACTGCGCCATTTGCCAAGCTTTCCCCAATTCAGGAAAAATGATGTACTTTGAAGAAATGAAATTGCCCTCCCCATGCCCTAACTTCGTTCAAGAGTAAACGGGCATGTCTTGCTTCTTCCCCTTGACACGTTCCCAGCACACGATCAAAGGAGGAAACACGGCAAGGAGCGGGGGTGTCGAGGGGACCAAGCTAATCCAAAAATGTATTGATTCAATTCACTGGGATGACATCGCTGCACCCTTGTGACCATTTGCGGGATCGGCCGGCGACCTCGCCGCTGGCCACCCTGCGCTCGCTGGTTTTGGTTCCTCTCCTCCGGTGGGCTGTGCTCGGCTCAGCCGACCCTTCCGGGCTTTTACGGAAGGCCTCACCAGCCGTGACTGGTCGCGCGGCGCAGAGCTCGCGCAATTCGCAGGGAAGGGGGTGAAACAGGGAGCGGCCAGACAGAGCTCTCTCTAAACCCCAGTCGCTCGAAAGCTAGTAACGAAACCTCTGGCTGCATATCAGCATATCTTCTACATATCTTGATTGTGTCGACAAACTTCTCCCAACGCTTTGCCTGGAGGCATTCAAACCTCTCACCTCACTGATCACCGCATCTGGCTGCCCTCCTCGTCGCGGGCCTTGGCCTTCCTTGGGCGGGGGGGTTTCTTGGTCGAAGTTGGCTTGCGTGGCTTCGTTTCAAGTTGATGCATAACATGTTTCATGTACAGGCAGGCAGGCAGGCGGGCAGGCAGGCAGGCAGGCAGGCAAGCAGGCAAGCAGCCTGCATGCTTGTATAAGTGTATGTGTGCGCCAGTGTGCTCGTGTGTGATTGCACGTGTGTATGCATTGCAGCATCCTTACGTACTGCAATATATTGCAGCATGGATGATGTGGCACAACGTAGCGTAACTAGCTGCACTGGCATGTAAACGCATTGAACGAACATGAAACGTGCTGCATACATGTTTGTAGCCATATACCTCACCATGTCCAATCCACCAATCATAGACTGCAACTGGTTTTGAGACCCATTCTTGATTGCCTAGTGTTGGCCATGTAGCGCTTTCCAGCTGAAGGGGAAGCAGGGGCACTGGCTATGCGTTGATACTTGTTCAAAGTCGTTTTCTGGCTTTGGGCATCTGCCTTGCCTTTGTTGCCCCCGCTGGTGCCCCACCCCCCCCCCGCCCCCGGTGGTTCCCCTGGTTTCCTTGTGAGCCCATGCGCTGGGCTTTCCAAAGCCCTGTCCAAATTTGGAGTGCGGGGGTGCCACATCGCTCCACCGTCCAAGCTTCACCAAGCCTTTGGAGATCCCACCTGGGGGCGTGTAGTTCTCGGGCAGGCAGGGGCCCTGGCAGAGCTGAGCCGCAAGTGGACCGTGGCCCTCCCCGAATACGATTTAAGGGTGCGTGGCACAGCGATCCGGATTTCGTGCTTTCTCCCTAAATATATTTTACCAACAACGGCCCAATTCTATGACCTCTGCCGTGCTCCATACATGAGTTGAGCCATGCTAGACGTGACCCACAGACGCTCGCAAATTTGACAATGCAATGACCAGAGAAGACACACACACACACACACACATGGGTTGGAGTACCCTCGAAAATGGCATTTTGAGCCCACCCAGACTCACTTCCTGAGTTGATGGGCCACAAGTGCATTTTTTTTGTTTACCGCATTGGTTTTCTTCAAAAGTTGTTTAAGTCCGACGCCGGGAGTGAGCCAACTTGCTTGTGCTCAGTAGAGAATGACCTTTCCGGGTTGTGGGATGAACCGGTTTCGGGGATTCCCTAAGAGGAAACCATAGTGGATGGTTTGTTTTTTTGAGGTCGTTCCATGTCTCATTCAATCCCCGATCGCACCAGCAAGCCAACCAGCCCACGCCTTCCACTTGATCCGCCCCAGCTGCGGCAGCTCGCCCATGGCCGCAGACCGCGCCACCGCCGCGGGGTCGTTCTCGTCCAGCAGCCGCTGCGCGTGCTCGGGCTGGGACATGATGGACCGGATCGCCGCCTTGCGATCGGCCCGTGGCTTGGGAACGACAAATCCCGAGGTCCCAGTCGCCTTTGAAAACTTGCCCTGCCTTTCCAATTTACGCGGGGAGGGTTTGGAGGACTATCCTCTTCGAAAGGCCCCGTGTCCACTTCCAACAAGTTCTACTACGACCTAAAGGGACAGCCTGAAATGCACAACTCAAGAGGTGCTGCTTCGTTGCAAGCATGGAACCCGTGGAAGTGCATGAGTTAACGCAACGCAACATGCGCATGCCGACGGGAACAAATGAAAGAACTGCCATCAACCAAACTCAAAATTGATAGGAAAAAATAGAACAACACCAATCATGGCTTATACATATGCATATACGAACACAAATACGATCAATTGGATTCTAAACAAACAGATAAAAAACACAAGCAAGCAAGCAAGCAAGCAAGCAAGCAAGCAAGCAAACAAACAAACAAACAAACAAACAAACAAACAAACAAACAAGCAATGCAACGCAAACCAAACAAAACAAACCAAAACAATACGAACAGACAAGCAAACGAACAAACACACAAACAATCACACAAACAAACAAACAAACAAACAAACAAACAAACAAACAAACACACACACACACACAAACAAACAAACAGCTAAGCAAACGCGCAAGCAAACAAGCAAGTAAAGAGCAAGCGAAACCAAAAGAAACAAAAAGACCCAGACGAGCAAGCCAGCAAAACGAAACAAACAAACAAAAAAGGCAACATAACGATTGATCGATCGATTGATCGATTGATCGATTGATCGATTGATCGATCGATCCATGGATGGACTGGTGGAGAGGGAGGGATGAAGGGACTGATGGAGGTATGAATGGAGGAGTGGATGGATGGAGGGATGGATGATTGATTGACTGATTGACTGACTGACTGATTGACTGACCGGCTGGCTGGTTGGTTGCTTGCTTGCTTCATTGATTGCGTCATTGATTGACTGATTGCGTGATTGCCTGATTGGCGTGCTTGCTTCATGGACTGCTTGACCGCGTGAGTGCATCATTGATTGCTTGATTGCTTGCTTGATTGCTTGATTGATTGCTTGATTGCTTGCTGGCTTGCTTGCTTGCTTGAATGCATGCATGCATGCATGCATGGATGGATGGATGGACGGAGAAGCGTACGGTACTCATCAAGGTTGGCTCCCAACTCAAGGTATCAGAAAAATCCAAAGTTAACAATTGGGCCCTAAAAAACGGGGTGATGCGCCTCAGCGCGCTGGAACTCTAAATGCTGCTTCTTGTAGAGGTCCGCCTTGAGGTTCTTATTCCTGGCAGCGGCCCCTTAGGCCCTTCTCAGGAAAATATGCGTGTGTACTTGGTGTGTGGCTTCCTCAGGAAGTTTCACCTGCTGGTGCTTCAAATTGATAGGGTTTTGCACATCCAAACCAAACAAACTGAATTCACGATAGGCGCCCGTGTGCGAGACTCAGCCATGACTAATGCCACACTGACAAAAGGCAACTGCTGCAGGCAACGGCGCAAATTGCTTAGACTTCCCCGGCTCAGAGTTCCTTCAATCCGTCCCGTTCCCCTCGTTTACGACACTCACTGAACATCGCCCAAATGGGCAAATCCGAAAAACTCCGGGTTGAAAACCCCCCAGCCAAACCAAAGGAACATGGACTCCGTGCTTAACGCTCCCTTTTCTCGGCCGCCTCCCCCCCCCCCCGGCCCCCCGGCGACCGAAGACGCGACGCGGTCCTCTGAATGAGGCGCTGGGAGTCCAGCTGGCGGTGCCGGATCTGCTCCCCGCGGTCCCGCTGGATCCGCTTCAGCAGCGCCCCCAGGGCCTTCTGCTGCTGGCCCCGCAGCCGCGCCTCCTGGAGCCAGGCAGCCAGGCGCCAGCCAGGCGCCAGCTTGCTCAGCTTGGGTGTTGCCCTCTTTCCCTTTTTTTGGGCGAGGAGGGGTGCTCCCTGGGAGTTTTCATGTTAAAATCACATCCCCACCAACACCCGGTCTCCAGATTTTTTTGAGGGGGGGAGCAAGAAGCCACGAAGAAACTAGGGGGAGGTTTGTTGTTGTTTTTGTTTTCTTCTGGCTGGTGATGCCCTATGTGGTGTTTGTTTTCTTTCTGGGGGGGGCTAACTTTTTTGAGACAAGTCTAAGGGTCGAGCCCTCGTGCATTGAAAGAGGCATCCAGCGTTCAGGAAACGCGCATCCCTGCAATCAATGGTGAGCATAGGCAGCAAAAACACATGCTGATCTGCAAGGGGAGTTCTTGCAACTTCATGTGGACTCGTAGCAAGAGGCGCCTATAGAGCCATATGAAGGTTCCCCTTGTGGCTCTGAATCGGTATGCGAAAACTGGGCCCCTGTCCGCCCCCCGTGGGCATTCGGCTTCTCCTGGCGCCTGGCGCTGTCGCTGACCAGGGAGGCGCTCCGCGCCTGCTCCCACTGCTCCAGCTGGTCCCCCTCCTCCTTGACCTATTGCAGAGACTGCTTTGGAAAGCAGAAAAAGTCGCAGTCGCTGGGTCTGGAAGACTCATCCTTGAGCTAGCCCACTCTTAGTCCTCGAGTGCTGGAGGAATGCTCTTTCTCCAGCCCCCGAGCTTTGGTGGGGCACATCGTATCAAAAAGAATTGGGTCGTCTCAAAACGAGACAATGGATGCAACCATATGGCGCAGAAGTCTGCGGGGCCATGGGTCGAGAAGTCATTTGATTCTGAAGATGGAAAGGCCCCTTTCCAAGTTCTGCCAGACCGCCTTGTGGTTGCTTCCCAACCAACCACGGCTG